AAGCCGAATGAAGCCGAGAGAAGCCGAATGAAGCCGAGAGAAGCCGAATGAAGCCGAGAGAAGCCGAATGAAACCGAGGAAGCCGAGAGAAGCCGAATGAAACCGGCGGAGCAGAAACGGCGACAAGTTTCTCCAGAGCGGTGAGTCTGACACTCCGGTAACTCACCTGCTTTGTGTCGGTCAGCTCTCTGTAAGAAGCTCCTGGTGCACCGCAGGAAGTAAACAAACAAACAAAACAACTAAATACATGATAAACTCAGTTCACCGGGAGCTCCAGGAACCTCCGCGCGCTGCTGAATCTGCGCAATCAGCTGCAGGTGTGTCATCAGCAGAGGTCTGGGGCTTTAGTCCAGACCTCTGCTTCTTCCTCTTTCCTCTTTAAAAACGGGCTCTTTCACGTCTGTATTTATCCATTATTAAAACTATTGTTGTTATTGTATTGGCATTTTGTTTTATCATATTAGTCATATAAAATCGACTTATATATAAAAGTGTATATAACACCATGTGCTGTTAAACTGTCAGCAGTAAGGAGCAGTTATAAAAACTACATGCTGCTGATAATTCGTTTTTAAAGTCATCTAAGCATGCTCTCACATTATTTGCTTATTTGAAGAAGAGAAGATTTCACATTAACCCAGGCTCCTCTGTTGTTTGCTTCTAACAGACATACACTCCTGATCAAAATCTTAATGCTGACGAGTTTTTCTTTGATCAGTACAGTTCATGCCAGTGGAACATGCAGAGGCGAAGGCGAATAAATCCAAAGGAAGATGCTAAATATTATGTCGATAAAAGAAAGGACAAAGATGGCCTTGACATTAAGTACATCAATGCATTTAAAGGTTTGTAGAACTTTATAGNTTTGTGAGTACTCATTAACAAGTAACAAATTTGATACATAGAAGGCTTTTTCCTAAAAATGTTTGTATCTATATTTTTATAGAAAGTTTTTAGAATGTAAAGTAAAAACTCCAATTTTATCTGTGATAATTGAAGTATAACTTTTTTAATAATGTCTGCCAAACTAGCTTCTTTTAGTGGCTTATATATTTTCAGAATAAATTAACACTTTTTGGTTGGGATTCTACTTTTAGATTTAACATTTTGTTTTAATTTGTTTTTAAGTGTCTAAACCATCACCTGACGTGTGCTACTATGTCTTCCTTGGAAAAGTGTGCTCATTGCGTTGGGCCCATTTCCTCCTTCAAGTGGCTTGGTTATCAGTGCAAAGGTAAATTATTTTTCCAGTTTTATATTTACTGTAAAATAAACTACCTGGCCAAAATTCTCTCACACTAATATTTCATTGGACCACATTTATTGTTTGTTGTGGCACACAGATCACCGTGGTATCATTTTCACAGTCTCCTGCAATGTCTCTGCATTAATTTATGTCTAGAATTGCATTCATTTTCACAAAGATGTATTGATGCTGGGAGATTTGGGCTTTTATGCAAAGTCCTATCCAGCACATTTCAAAGATTCATATTGGGGTTAAGGTTTGGAATTTGTAGTGGCCAATCCTGGTATTTACCTCTTGTAACATGCCCATGTCATCAGTGAAGAGAAAACCCACTGGTGGAATAACCTGGGGTCAGATTTATAAACACTGCACACGCATAAAACAAGCTCAAACTTGCATACGCCACTTTTTGCGCAAAGGTTGTGATTTATAAAACCCAAACTTGACATGAAAATGTGCGATCCCTCAGCCAGCTCTGACCCATGCCTACATACATTTTGAAACAGGAAGCTGGCGACACAGATGGTGAAGTGAGGAGTTATAACCACACTGCATCATGATCACTATCAGATATTTTATTTCACTTCATAATCAGACTTGGATTTTTATCCATCATATAAAATTTATCTTAGTAATGAGCCATAAGGACTTAAAAAAAGACATTTGTAAGCCAACTTAAATCTTAAATAAATGTTCACGCATCTGTCTCCCTCCTGGCCACCGCCCTCCTCAGACAA